TGGCACAGTAGCATCGAATAAGTCAGCTGATATAAATATATATAAATACATATAGGCTGTGTGCGGTGGCTCAACCTGTAATCCGAGCACTTTGGGAGGCAGAGGTAAGAGGGTTGCCTGAGCCCAGGGGTTCGAGACCAGCTTGGGCAACTTGATGAGACCTCGTATCCACAATAAATCACAAAAACTAGCCAGGTATTTGGCGTGTGTCTGTAGTTCCAGCTACTTGGAAGACTGAGATGGAAGGAACTCCTAAGCCCAGCAGGTCAAGGCTGTGGTAGCCATGAATGTGCCACTGCACACTCCAGCCTAGTAGATAAGAGTGAGACTCCAACTCAAAAAATAAAAATAAAAAACAAAATAAAAAAACAGACAAACAAAAAAATATATATACATACATACATGGTATAAACATTTGCATGATACAAATATATACATATGTGAATTTATTTTAATGCCATTTGAATTATTAGAGCACAGGGGGTCCTTGCTGGTGCTTTTGATCATTACAAGTGGTTAGGAATCTCCAGACTGTGTTGACAATAATCCCAGACCCAGTTTCCAGGAGGCAGCATGGAAATCCTCCAGAGCTCAATTACAGAAATTAGCTGGTATTATTTAATCCTCACCACCCCCGTGAAGAAGACAGGGTAAGCATCTTTATCCTGATTTTACCGATTAGGTTACGGAGGCTCAGGGAGGTTATATAATGAGCCAGGGGTCATTCAAATGGGAGGTAGCAGGGACAGGATCCAGAGCAGATCTTGTCACTTCAGGTGTGAGGCTCTTCACACAGTGCCTCCACTGCCTGGCCCCAGGTCAGCCACCAGCGTGTCATTTCAGGCTATCCAGTAGATCCACTGCCTCATCTTCTGAATGGAAAGAACACGCTTCCCTGGCCTCCCTCCTCAGGAGCATGGAGGGATGGAGGTGACACAAAGACTTTTTGTAAAAGAACGAACTGCCACACATTTGAAAGGGAATATCTGGGGTGAAAAAAGATGAGGTGGATAAGGGAAGCATTTTTCCAAGTTGGCAAAGTTCTGAAACTCCTCTCTGCCCAGCACCCATTCCCTCTCCCTTTGCTGTACCTGGAAAGGCAAAGTGGTCCCCCCACTTGAGGGTCAGCTCAGCCCACCTTTTGCCTGTCATTGCTTTTAAATTATCTATAATAAGCTCTTGAGAGAGGTTGGCTGTAGGCCCCCACCCCCACCCCGGGATCCTGTGTGGACATCAGGCTGATTAATTAATGATTCAACCCTGGTACCACTTGCTCTGACCAGGGTATGAAGTCAGCCACTGCTTTCTAAGCCAGAGGCCATTAAAATAATGTTTCTTCAACCTTAGAAGGAATCTTCCAATGGATAAGAAGCCAGCTCTGCAAGAAAAGTTGCTCTGGCCAGAACCTACAAAACTTCTAATTGACAACTGTAAGGGTCATTCACTTAGACTCAGTCATCTAAGGTCCCAGTCCCCTGAAACTGTATATCACCTTAACTTGATGTGTCTCAGAATCTAATAGAAGACTCAGAATGGAGATTTTTAAAAAATCAGAGCTAAGCAAAAATGGAGGTTGGTATCATTGCCCTGTGCTCCTAAAGAACACTCTGTGGATATCTTGGTGTTTTCTCTCCTGCATTTATTGAGTATTTGGCCAGCCAAAGTATCTTTGACTTCACAAGGAGTTTGTAAAACACCAGGGTTGCCTTTAAAAATAGTTCAAAAAGAAGCCCAGACTTATGGCAGTATGTATGATGGGAGACCTCCTCATTCAACCGTAGCCCAAAGCATTCTGGGAAACTCAACAGGTTTTCCCAACATGTCATGAGTTAGGAATGGAATTGGCCTGCTTTGCTTCTGGAAACCCTGGGACCAGGCAAAATGATGTGCAGCATGGCTTCCGTGAAGCTTCTTTCTTCGGGCCAGTGCTGCTACCCCTTCAGGACAAGAACAGTCTCCTACCACCCCCCACCTCCTCCCCAGGACTCCCCCACATACTGGGTCCCTGAACAATTGCAGTAACACCATCCCACTTTCAAGGCACTGCAACTACTGACAATGCTAATGTGTTCATAACAATTTCCTCCACTCTTCTGGCAGAAGCAACATTGAAGCAACTTGAAATGCCATCAGAAAAAAAATTATTTCCCATTCCTGGGCATCAGAGAAAACAGGGCTTCATTGGCTGGGTCCGCCTTCAAGAGCTTTCTGGTTTCAATTTAAATTTCAAGTCTCCAAGGGAAAACTGACATTCTAAGAGACACAGGCCCAGCCAAGTTTCAGTGTCTCCACAGTAACCCAGAAAGGATGCCCCATCCAGCTAGCTACTCCTCATCTTCCTCCTTGTATGAACTGTAGAGAAGCATTAGAGCAGAGATTGAAGTATGACTAAACATAACGAACACATAGAGAGAGACCTCCTATCTTAGAGGCGCAATTTTTTGCCATAGAAGTATTGATCCAGCCCCTAATGGAATTCCAAGTTAAGATAACAGCAGAAACAGAATAGGGACTCCAGAGGAACGTGTCTTCCTATTTATTTCTTCTTCAGCAAAATCTTGCCCCACACCTCTTCCCCGTGACCATTTTCCACTAAATTCTACAAAAGATCTCAAGCCTGATTTTCTCTTCCCCCAACCCTCATTTAAGCCAACCCTCATTTAAGCCAGTGATCTGCAAAGTAGCAAAGTAGCTCACCCAGAGCAATGAACGAACTCGCCCAGAAGGCCCTGTGACCCAAGGGCTATTTCCCTCACTGGGGACATCACTAGGTCTCCCCTGTGAGAAGTCCAACCCTGGGCCTCCCAGCAGAACCTCCCCAAGTAATGCTCTAATGTCAACACACAAAAGATCAGGTTACAGCCCTCCACTGGCCCAGCCCATTAATGCACATATAAGGCAGTGGATATTTTCTCCCAAGCTAGAAGTGGCCCCCTTCCTAACCGACACTGCAGCCTCACAGACACTCACCCTTCTGTTCACAGCAAGCCATCCCCTCCCCCACGCATGGTTTGCTTATTCCGAGACACATCTATTTTTCCTGCTAGGAAGACAAGTCCTCCTCCAGTTCCCCCTCTCTTCCCCCTCTCAGCTCTCGGGTTACTGTGGTGGCCAGTAGCTCCCAGAGCCCAGGTCTAGGACCAGTTCAACTTCCCAAGACCAAGACTTTTTTTTTTCTTGATAGGGGAGGAGGGTCTGCGTGCCAAGCAGCACTCAGACTACCTGGTCTCTGAACATTCTGGGGCTCAGATCCCTGCAGTTGACAAGTACTCAGTCAGTGCTCAACCGCTCTTGATTTCTTCCTTCTCTTCAGATCTGCCCCCAGACATTCTGTCCTAACACCCTATTCTGGTCACAGGCACTAAGATTCAGCTCAGACAAAAAAACAAACAAAAAATCCCTTCAACTTCACCCTGAAACCTGGGAATCCCTCTCAGAGCAAAAGAGATCACACCTCCCTCCAGAGAGTTTCAAGATGGTGAAAGCCACAGAAATCAAGAATAAACAAACAAACAAATATAAGAGGGAATGACTTGGGACTGTAAACTGGCTACATCTTAAAGTGCTACAAACTTTCTCCTCCCTCACATGCCCCTGGTGGCTGGCTCCGCCTTCTCAACCCAGTCACCTAACATCTAACTGGGGTGTACAGAGGAAACTCGCCCCAGGACTCCTAGGTCTGGCCCCAATGTTGCATATGGGCCTGAATCGGACAGCACCCTTCCTCTCCAACCTCCTTTCCTCTCTACCCCACTATCCCCACCATCCCCAACACACACAAACACACTGCAAAAGAAGATGAGTTTGAGAGTTTGGAGGGGGCACAAGAGATTTACCTGTGTGAACTGAAGCAGGGTAAGAGATGGGGCCACACTGCCAGATAGTTTTGGTGACAGCTACTTTATGAAATTAGCTTTTAATACAAGCCTTCAGGAAAAAGGAGAAAAACAGGATGAAGAGTGAAGGAATGAAAAGGCAAAGAAGGAAAAAGGATATAAAAGGAAAACACGTCATGCCAGCATTTCCTTAGAGACCAGGGACTCCAACCAAACTTTAAGGAAAAAGGTGTGAATAGTTGGGGTGGGAGGGGGGAGGTTATAGGGGCTGGGAAGGAAAAGAAGCTTCGGAGGAGAGTTTCTGCAGGAATAAAGAGACACACAAATTGCCCTTTTAGCATTGGATGTCAACCGTGAGATTATCAGGACAGTTTATTTGAAACGGAAACGAATCGGAAATCCTTCCCTCAACAGTCCTTGTAGATAGAGACACACTCGGAGACCCCAGCACAGACACATAGAAAGAATAGCTGCAGCGTGAGGTGGGAGGGGGAATGAAGAACCCCTCCCCACACTCCCAGGACCCCTGGCCTCCACTGCCATTTCCAATCGCACAACTTTCGATCTCCAATGAAAATATTTCCAGTTGGATCCGATTTCAGAATCGTAGTACGCCGGTGTGGATGGGGGAGGCGGGTGCTGTCGTGCGCAAGGAAGGGGGGCTGGAAGACAGTCTCTAGGCAGTAACTTATTTTGTTAGAAGTAGCATGCTCTACCGATCAGAAACCGCTATTACCCAACAATGCTTCCATCACAAACAGACGCCGAGCCCAGCATCTCCCGTTATCACCATCTTGCTAAAGATCTGCCTTGTCCCGTTTCCCTGGCTGTCTCCGCGGAACTTCTCAGACAGTCCTTGGCTCGGAGAGATAATGATTTGAAAGACAAAAACAATAAATCGATACCGAAAGGCTCCCTTTCCGGTGTGATTTCCCACTGGAAACCACCGGCCGGGGAATCCGCCGGCCGAGAATCCCGGAGCCCGCGGCTCCTCTGGAGACGCACACAATGCGTGCTTTCAAAAAGGCATTCGTCCGCTTTTAAGGGAATTCCTGTCTTTTCAGAGTCCCAAAGCCAGAGAGCCTAAGAAAGAGACTGAAATCCATTGATCAAGATTGTTAAGAGAAAGACCAACACACAGACACAACACAAGCACACACCAACCTTGGTCGGCTGGACCCTTCTTGCCTGTTCTTCTTTCTATTAACGACACGTTAGATTCTGATACAATCCCCCCCCATCCAACTAGGTTACAATGTAGCTCTCTAGCTCCACTTAACCTGCAAGTTACAAAGAGAG